CTAAACCCTCAACCCTAAACCCAACCAAGAGTCTGAGCAGGTGCAGGCGCTGCAGCGCCTGCTCCTTTCGGGTGGGGCGGTGGACGAGCTGCTCGGCTACATCGACCCCAACGGACGTCACAGGCAGCGCAGGGCTCGGGGTTTCTGGGGTGGAGAGGGCGGAAGCCTCTTTCTTGAGGCGTGCGCGGTCGGACGACGAAGGTAGGGAGACGAGCCGACTGAGGATTGCGAACATTGATTCTCAAACTCGGAGGTAATTGAGTTTCTGCTTTGCAGAAGTTGGGGAACCTATGCACATCGACACTATGCCATTCTGGGCCAATTTCTTTGCACGCAATTAGTGCCGGTAATCCCCGCCCTCAATCGCAAACCGGGACTACTAAAATTTGGCGATCGAGGGAGGTCCGCAACAGAAATATCACCATTTGCAATAGTCTCGATATGGGGCACAACCGCCCTGGCAATCATCATAGCATCATGCTAAAAATAGTCTTGACTATTGAACATCTCATCCTCCTCCTCCTCCTCATCATCATCATCATCACTATGGTCATCACCATCGTCTTATGACCATGAGTGTTCTTGTCACCATCGTGGTGATGATCGTTGTTATTGTTACCATTACTATGATTATCAGTGTTCTGTTGCCTTGGCATCGCTACCATGCTTCTTACAATTGGTGAAGGAATCCTATTCTAGTAGCGCTTCTATTACGATTAGCACCATGACTATCGCTACGATGATCGTTATCGTTCGTATTAGAATCGAATAACTCCCCGACATCTGCCAGGCCGGGCCTCCTGGAGAAGACCCTGCAGGAAGACGGCATGGGCGATCAGGCGGAGACCGGGGTGCTCCGCATGATCGTGAGTGTATTAGGCTTGGATCTTATGATGTATATAGATATATATAGACATATAGATATAGAGCAAGATACACACACACACACATATATATATATATAAATAAGTTCACACACACACACACATATATATGTTTATTTATGACTAGCAATGAGCTGTCAAGCGATCTCCAGACACCGAAAAGTGCTTGCAAACAGCCTAGTGATCCCTTATAAGACACTATCGGACCCGATGCAGCCCCGCTTGCATGGCATTCCATGCATTCGAGCTGAGCTCCCAAGTCGCAGATGATTGGGAATCGGATGAGGGACTGTAGAGACATGGGTTGGGGAGTCGGCTTTCTGAAGGGTAGAGGGATTGGTTTGGGTGCTCGTTCGATCGTGCACTTCCTCTGGATGCGGGGCTTAAGTCGGATAGCTCGGATGTTACTAGGAGGTCTTTGACACATGTGACATGTGCATTGCAGGTCAACAATTTTTGGCAGTGTGTCCATGTAGTGCGGTTTGATAGACACCCCTTCGGAAACCAAGCTACGCCATGTTTGGCTCGCAGGCGGAGTTTGTGGAGTTGTGCTCTCGTGCTGGTCGCCAGGCACCGGTCACAGTACGTCTGCAAAATCTCACCACCAGTTTTATGCCAGCGGCTCTGTGTGTACCCACATGTGCTGCCTGAAATGCTTGAACCCCAACCGCAAACCACCCTTGAACCCCTAAACCCCAACCCTAATTAACCCTTGTACCGTCCTGGAGTTCTCTAAAAGTCTCTTAGTTTAGGGTTCAGGGCTTGTAAGGGTTCGATGCAAGGCCCGAGATCAGGGACAGTACCGGGAAGCCATTCGCCTGCTTCACCTGGGAAGGCCCTAGGGTGTAGGGTGCAGGGTTTCGTGGATTTAAGGGTCAGAATCATAGGGTTTTAGTCAGGTGTCTCAAGGATGTATTCGGGCTGAATAAAGATAGTAAATGTCATGGGTTTCAGGGTTGAATAGGGTTGATTTGAAGTTTATATGTTTGTTATTTCGTTCAGGTTTAGGCTTTGGAAACAGAATCTGCTGTCTCCCTGAGGGGGTGCTTTTTGGCTGTTATTTTTGCGTTATGTGGTGGCTTCGACCGATTTAGGGTCGGTGGTTCAGGGCTCAATCGACATTGGAGGTGTTTGGTTTTCTGAGGTGTTCAACAGGCATGTAGTTTTGGCCCAAGGCCTACGATCTTAAAGGGCTTGGGATGTCACTCCTCAGGATATCCAGCGGAACTATAAGCTACATGCTCAGAGCACTTGGCACAACTCTTGGCAGACATGCTTTTGCCGTCCTGCGTGGTCCCAATATCCCTTAAACAAGGAATATACCTTAAGTTATAGGGGCCTTATTATTATTATTATCATTATTATTATTATTGTGATTTAAGCCATATTCCTTAATTAAGGGGTATTGGGTTCTCTTCTGCCGTCCTGCGTGGTCCAGGTGCTACAGCGAGGTGCTCCAGGCGCCCTCTGCAAGTGAATGATGCTGCCTTCAGGGTTTAGGGTTTACGGTTAAGGGTTTAGAGGCTTCTTCGTCTCCTTTGGCTTCTCCGCCGTATGGATTTTTGCTTTCGCAGCTAGTAGCACCGGTCGGTGTGACGATCTGGCTCCTTGTTGTTGCAAATGTTTCTGCCATGACCATGCCACGTTTTCAGAAATAGTTGTCTTGTCAGGTGCTTTGCCGCTGCCTGCGGCTGCCAATCTGGCGTGAGGAATGTTGTTTGTAGTGCTGGTCAAAATTGCAGTTTAGGTTTTGGGTTTTGAGCTGTCTCAAGCATCTGGAACTCCTGCGATGTGTGCTTGGGTCATCGTCTGTTCGCCTTACCTAGCTTTGCCGATGGGCCAATGAGGTGTGCAAGGGAGTACAGCTCTTGGCTTGTACCTCGCAGGAAGCAAAGGGTTCATCCCTATCCACACAACGGACCCTCTATGACATGCTACAGACGCAAACTTACGCCACACTGAAGAATAGTTCATGCAGCTCAAGCCCAGCACGCTGCAACCAGGAGTCGATCGCTTCCGGCACGGCAGCGCAGGGCGAGGCGGCCAGCCTGGCCCAGGCAGGTCCCTTCTGCTTCTTCTTCATCGTATTTCTCCACCTGAGAAATCCCGTCCTTTGAAGCCACGGCGGCGACGGCGAGTCTACAATCATGTCTGCATCGATACTGCCGCTGCTGCTGCCGCCGCTGCTGCTGCCGGTGTCGATGCTTTTCTCTTTGTCGCCACTAGCTATTCGTCATGTTTCATGATATCTGTTGCCTATGTTTTTGGTCTTATCCTTGTTGCCGTTGTCCTGGTCTTGGTCGTGGTTCGGTTTAGATGCCTGGAGTTATGGTTTAGGGCTTTGGTTCGGACGTCAAGAGTCCTGAGGTTGGCTCAGGGACAGTGTTTCGCTAGTAAGCAAGACTTGAGTCATGTTGGTGTTTTAGGGTATACCAGTCGCCTTCCGTGTGGGCGTCCTGGCGAAGTATCCGCAGTGTTTGTCCCGGCTCAACCGCCAACTGGCAGGACATCCAGCGCTTTTTCGACATCTACGAGCGGAATCTGGACCGCTATGCTCTGTCCTCTCAGGCAGTCCCCCCTGTCTGCGGACGGAATGCACAGGATTGCGACGTGCAGAATAACCCACAAGTCCCAGAAAAGCCCGTTTTCTATGGGATCGGTACTGCAGGTCTCGGAAACCAAGTTCTTTGAGCCCGACCGCCTCTATACTCTCCAAGCCCCAAGCTTGAGGAAAAGCAGACTCCCTGTCTTTCAGTGCTTGTCTCGTCTAGGATTTGGGGTTCATGAAACATGTAAGGTAACTGCAGTTATGTTGCTGTGTTGACTCAGAACGCCAATGACCCAGGAGAATGATATCATAACTAGGTTTCTGGTCATGTATATACCAACAAGGTGCGCTTATAGTTACTATAATGTGTTTCGGTGCTAAGAGAATCTTAAGCTCTGTTGCAAACTTAAATGCCCCTTCATGGAGCCTATACCACCCCAAAGGACAGTCATGACCCTGAAGGTCTGGACCGTGGCCCGGAAGCTCTACGCCACGAGGATGTTCCACAGCCTCTGCGACCGAGGCCGAGTTCGTTCCTTCTCGAACGCCTACATGATATATATATATATAATAAGATAAGATATGATATGATATGATATGAGATATATACGCACACATTTTGCAGGTAATGCAAAGCAGCCGGTACGAAGCGTAATCCACAGTATTCGTAGTCAGCCTCGATCCTGGAATTGATTGCCAAGTGCGGATTTCCGTAACCTCCTCTGAAGCCGAAAGAAGGAAGTTGATTGTCTTGCCTGCGCTGGCACTCAAGGCGCTGCATTACTGCAAAATCTTCAGCATCTGTAGGGCTCGGGCTGCTCCGAATTTTGGCGCTAGCAGCTAGCACCCGTCAGTCAGTTGGGTTTGAGACCGATGGATGCGAAACGAAGTATTCAAGAGATCATTATCCTATCCCTGAAGCCTTTAAACCCGAAATCCCGAACCCCACGGATGTCCCAAGACTGAGCCAGGGCAGCCAGAGGCGGCTTTGGATGTCTTCGACCGCGAACAGCTTTTGGGAGACGTAGACGCTCCTGCCGAGGTGTGGATGCTTCTAATCAGGCTTTGGGATTTGGGGTTCAGGCCTTGGGGTTTACTGTCGGGATTATGATTAAGGGTTGAGGGTTTAGGGCCTGTTTAGGGTTGGGTGGTTTGGGCATGCGGGTTTAGGGTCTAGGGTGCTGGGGTTTTGGTTCTTTGAAGTACCGGGACAGCTAGACCCTGCCGAGGATTGGAGTCTCGGAAGCTTTTTGTTCGAGGCTATGTTGTAGGCCTTCAGGGAGTTTGCAAAACAAGGGACTTGCAGAGGCAGCTTCTGCAACAGCCATCCGCGTCAGCATCCAGTTAGAGTGGACTTGCAACCTTGAAGTGCCCAACTGCTCGAACTTTCAGACCCAATGACCTGCAGCCTGCAAAGCCTGAACTGACGGCCAGGCAGCAGACGAGATTTGGGCTGAGTACCCTCAGATCGAAGCTGGGCGGCAGGTGAAAGAGCATCGAAGAACTATGCAAAGCGACGACGACGTCGTCACAGTGGCGGCGGCGCTGACAGTAGTGGTAGTGGCAGTGGCAGTACTGGTAGTGGCAGTACTACTAGTGGCAGCAATAGTAGCAATAGTAGTAGTAGTAGTAGTAGTAGTAGTAGTAGTAGTAGTAGTAGAGACCTATATTATGCGCACCTGCATTACAGGTAGCATCCCAAGAAGAGGAACATGATGAGTGGTGTACCAGTGTACCAGTGCTCCTCGTTCTTTTTTTTGGTACTGGTTGAGGTTTGATTTGGTGGGTGGCACGGAGCGGGAGATTGAAGGTTTATGGTAGCAAGTGCGTCCGCAAAGCTGGCGTCCTTCCAACTTATGACACTGGCATCTCTAGCCCAAGCAGCTTCTAATTGCAAGATTTTCGTGAAGGCCTTTGCACGCTTGAGACTCATGACTGTGACACTTCATCAGGTGTCGGCTTACATCCGAGTGCTCAACCATGCGGCGACGCGCGGAGCCATGGTGGGCTATGCGATGCAGGCGCGGAAGCAAAGTAAGAATCGAAACCGAAGGTGCCGAGCGCATGCGTAGGCACCCAGCCACCACACGAATTCGTAACCCGCACTCCGCTCCTAGTGCCGTTGTTCTACTCCAGACTGGAACATCCTCGAGGCACCTGACCTCGCAAACAGTTGCTTCAAACCAAAACCTTCATGGATCCTGTCTCAACCAGCTGTCGTTGGGGTGCAAAGCCATCGTATTTCCATGGTGAGATCGCCCTTGAAGGCATCTAAGATTCCGCATGGTGCTCGGCTGGCAGTTCCTGATAACAACCTCGTAGCCAGGACCGCGTGCGGAGGCTGCAGTCATTCCTTGCAGCGCGCTGTAACCGCCTCGTCCTGGACCAGGATCCCGGTAAAAGACGGACACCTCGAGAGCACATCAAAGTCTGCGTTTCTGTCTCCGTGTCCGTCGGTCGGTCGGCCGGTCGGTCGTCCGCTCTTTCTTTGTTCTTATGTACCTGTAGCTGTATTGCCTCTACTGTGTACCACCTTTGTCTAGCTGTCGGTTGATGACTCTCGGGGTCTCTATGCATATCCATCTCGTCTAATTACTTCTGGAAACTTGTACACATGTGCATGCATACCACATCCAGCATCATGGTCGGATCGCACTAAAGTGGACAAGCTTGTGGTCTACTAGTAGCTCTATTAGCTGCCTTTGAACTTCGCAGTGTGCAGGAAACAGATGCTGCCCTTTCGAGACTGGCGTGGCTTGACTGGACAGCGACGTGACATGTTCTTGACTGCAAACCCTTAACCTGCCACGCAACCGTCCTCGTTTGATCCCGTGATGTTTCAAGCATAGAAATCCCATGCGCCGGGTGCTCTGGCTGCAGGCTGGGGGCCACAAAAACAGAAAGAGCCATTTGAAATACGAGGCCCAAGAGACTAGACTTCGAGAGTTCTCAGTTTCAGGCTCGGGAAGGCCCAGGAGCCCTCAAGGAGTCCTTTCAGCCCCAACCCGAGCGACTCTGAGCGAATCTGAGTGGCCATTGGCTATAAGATACCTATTCAAAAATCGTTCTGGTCGGGTGCACAAGAAGAAGGACCTTGACATGGGAATGGCACCCTGTCCCAAATACAAGCATCAGTCGTGTCCGGCGTTGCGCGTCGCTCCGAGGCTATGCTTCTGAGGCCGTTGGTCAGCCCTGCCGCCGGCGCAGCGCTCGCTTGCGGCCGCTGAAAAATGGGTTCACTGCCCGGGGCTCGAGGTTCAGGTTCGACGGCTCTTTGGGCTTAGAGTTCGCTTGGTCTGTTTCGGGAAAAAAAGCCGAACGGATGCAGCAGCCACGGCTTCGTGGGTGGGAATTCGGCATTTACTGCAGATGTTCTGGAACCAGCTGGGGCCTTCGTGCTCACTTGCAAGCTGCTGTAGTTTCTCTTTCATCAAGCAAGCCCGGCCCCAAGGAATTGTCAAGACAACTATTGCTTGTCTTGTGGTTGCTGGAGCAACTGCAGGTTTTAAAATGCATGCTGCAGCATCTAATCTAATCTGCTATCCACGTCAGTGCATTACAAACTTCTTGGAGTGAGGTTTTCGAAGGGACGTCTCGCGTTTGGCTTTAGGGGCAGGGACTGCACTGCAGCTGCACGCATTTGCTCTTCTCTTTGGACCGAGCGGGAGATGCCTAGCAATTGTACATCCCCTACCGCCCGTACCGAGCAACTAGACTTCTAGTCCCGAAACCCGCACCTTTGAGATTGACCGCAGCAGAGCAGCCATGGGTACGGAGGCCACTCATGACATGGCACAGGGTGGCTTCGAATGGGCTCCGGCACCCTGCGATCGGATTGTCCCCTGGCATTCCAGTAAGTAGCCCGAAGCCGTTTTGTAAGAGGTATGCTCCCAAGTAGCTCGCCAGGCAGAACTGGACGACTGAGGTACCTTCTCTGCTGTGTGCTGCGAGTCGAATCCCTGCAGCATGCAGGTGGGGAGGCTTGGCCACTCACGCTGCTTGCCAGTGGAGATAGTCTTCCACTGGTTCTCAAGATTTCGACATCGGACCACAGCGCTTATCGAACTTTGCAGAGTGATATGACGGTGCGGATCACTTCTCGCGATGTGTCGGTACTAGCCTTCGATGCTGGACTTGCGCAGTGCCAGGACATCATGACAGAGACGGTGAACCTTCCCGCCCCACACACTTGCGCGACATCGTTCGACGGGTCGGCTCTTTACCTGACCTTCTTCGCAGACTATGCCTTGCAGCCGGCCACGACTTATCTTTTCGCGACACGACTCCGACTGCTGGCTCCCGGAACTATGCGTCAGCGGACGCTGCTCTGTGAAATACTGGAGGATTTCGAGGTCATTGACAGGTTTGGCATTGTGATCGGCACCATTGCTGCCATGCCACCGCAGCCGAGCCTCCAACTCTCAGAGTTTCTAGGCTCTTCATGGCAAGTTTCGCCCACCTCCGACATATTTCAAGGCAGTAGTTTTGCTGTTCTATCTTTTATGCATTTGCCCAGGTTTCGGCTCTCCGCGGCCGCCCTTTCTCGCGAGCAGGAGTTCGTCCTCGAGGTTCGCTTGGCCGCGGCCTCCGCTGCAACGGCTGTGGACCCCGGGGCCCAGGGCAGCGTGCTGATTTGGGCCAGGCCTTTGGGTTTTAAAAATTTCAAGCTATTATGCATGGAAGGCTTCTCAATGCTCACCTTTTCTTTTCCAGTGCTCTGCAAGGCCTCTGATGCTCTGGGATTTCTCTGCCGTGAGCCCCTGCTCCGTAGAGATCGGCAGCGGTGCCTCCGGCCTCGTGGGGGGAGGCACCTGCACCTTCCTGCGATTCCCGGAAAGCAGCACAGCGGCGGTGGCCGACAGCATCGGGCTCAATGCCACTTTGGCTCAGTTTCTAGGATGGTCTTCTCGTTATGCGTCTTTCCGATTTCAGGGCCGGATTTCTTTGAACTTTGCCCCGTGCGAAGTCTTGAGTAGATGAGCAAGGCCATCCGGCTGGTGCCCGCCGGCAAGATTGGAGTGGATCCTGTCACGTTCCGATTCCGCTTGCGGGCGCCCGGCGCGGGAACGCTCGGGGTGCGGTGGTGTGCTCAGGCACAGCAGCTCGGCCTGCCTTCGCAAGCCGCCATGACCTCTGATTCGGGGTTGAGCGTTGCACCTGTGCCGACAGCTTTGGTCAGCTATGTCCGCAACCTAGCAGCCAGCGCCGACAACACCGTGCAGATCGTGTTCAATGCAGGCATCACATTCGCCGGCGGGGGCCTGCTTCGCGTTGATGTGCCAAGCTCTTTCCAAGTCGTTGTCGCCGAAGTGCAGGTGAGCGGGTACGGGCGTCTCAGTAGCAGCCCCAGCATCCTTTTGGACCCTCACAGCGTCACCATCGAGCTGGGCAACACAGACGCCCTTTGGACAGGAGTCAGCTACTCGCTGCTCCTGCGTGCGGCTGGACAGCAGGAGCAAGATTTCTCTTCGAGCTTGGAATCCCTGGAAGAAGTATCGAACCAAAGAAGCCTCCCAAATGCTCCACCTTGAAAATGCCAACTCCAGCCATGCTGAACTTTCGATATAAGTGGGCTTTTGTGGGGCCGATGAACGCCTCGGACCTAGACCCAAAGCAACGCCTAAACCCTGAACTTCAAGCCCAACATCAGGGCCCAGAACCATACCAACCCTCACCCTGAAGTCACAGCCCAAAGGCCCTCGACCTGAATCCTGGAGCCGAGGTCCAAAACCCTGACATGGCTACATTGCCCCGGGCGTGTGCCGACGTCTTGTCCGCCTTGGTGACCGATTCGGACCTCCTGGGTGTCTGGTCGGAGTAAAGTTGTTTGCTTTTGTGAATGCTGGTATATTGAGATCCAGCTATGAGGGCCATTTGGACTTGGGCTAGGTTGCGGATTTGTGAGGGTGACTTAGACATTTAGGATACCTCACTCAGAGTATGAACTTGAGACGGTTTGTGGAGTCGGGATGGTTGACAGTTGCGGGCTTTAGCATCTTGGCATATGATGTAGAGTGTTTGAGTGTCAATGCGGTTTTAGGGTATCGGGAGCCACTCGTCTAGAACCATTTGGCACTGTAGTACTGCCTGCATAGGCAGCGCGAAAGTACACCGAACTAAACACGATTGTAGTTCAAAGAGGCGAAAACATGCAAACCTAGAGCAACGGCAACAAGAGTGTGAACGACCACGATAGCCAGGAGATACTCGTATCACCAAGAAGAATAACAGATAAAGATGCCAGGTATCTTAGCCACCTCTGACTTCACGGCGGGTGCCCCGGAAGCTTGGAGCATCTACCTGGAGGTTGGGAGTTCTCAAGCCCTCGGCACAAAACTTGCTGTGGATTCTGAATGTAGACCGCCTAGACTTGCTGATTGCTCTTACGTTCTTCGGTGTCGTATGTTCTGTCAGTTTCTGTTGGGACGCATGGTGGTCGCATCGCTGTTAGATGCCCGAAGGCCGACAGCTAACGCTGTCAAACCACCGTACACCAGGGCCTTAATATCAGCCCTGAAGGTGGGTCGACCGGTGCAGGCCACAGGCACCGCGGCTATCGGAGCGATGACACTCGGCTCTTTGACATTGAGGGGTACTCAGCATTCTGCGGAAGTGTATGTACTTCGGCTGCTGGCGCAGAGTCCCATTGCTGCTGACTTCTTGCGACGACATCTGGATTTGCGTTCCTGCGTTGCGGGGTTGTCTTTTGATTCACTTCAGCATGTCACTTAGGCACGGTTTCAGTTTGATAGTTTGAACATCAAAGCCTCATCATCTGTGGTGGCGCTCCAGGAGCAGCTTGTTTGCATCTCTGGGTTTTCGGGGCTTCTCGTTGCTGCTTTAGTGTAGCTGCTGCAGCCCTCAACCCTAAGCCCTCTTAGCCTGAAGTCTAAAACCAAGGAACATCTTGCTGCCACTGCAAGGGGCTTTCCTCTCGCCTAGCGGCTTGGCGGTCTTCAGAGTTGAGAGTTAAGGGGTCTAGGGTGTGAGGTATAGGGTTGAGGGTGGCCTCAAGCCTCAATATCGGAGCCTCAAGCACCTATCCAGGCAACCTTGCCGTGGACCAGCTGAATAGCCTGCAGGTGGGGGAGAACAGGGTCTGACCCGTGTTCTATGAGGGCCTGAATAGTTCGAATAGGGTTCCTTGAAAAATTCCTTTCAAGCTTCCGCAAGGGTTCTATATAACTGGTCTATACTATAACGGTTCTGTAAGGTTACAATATTTAGGAACCAGAACAGTTAGAATGGGTTTGGTGGGGTGAAGCATTCTACACTTGTACAGGGACTCTAAAGGCAAACTGTTACTACCTCTTTATACTTCTACGTCTATGTCATGAGGGTTCTTGGTTTTCGGTCGAACCGGGGTCGAGGGTTTGTGATCCCAGGGTTCAGGGACGGACCGTGTAAGTATGTTGAAAGTGTTTGAAAATGGTTCTATTGCTGATAGTGCTCGTTCTGTCTGAGGTTCAGTGCAGGATGGCTTAGGGTTGTCCAAATCTTAGGCCGTAGATTCTTAGGGATGAGTTTCTTGTCTGCTTGAAGGTTTGTATACATACAGAGTCGTGAGTCCCTCGTTTCGGGTTGCGATAGTTACGAATAACAAGGCCATGGTTGCTCGAGCTCAACAACCTTGCCCTGCTTCTACGCATGTGCCTGCAGGTGGAGGGAGTCCACTAGTAAGCAAGGAGCTGCGGCAGCCAGAAGCCCTTGAACCGCAAACTTCCGCACTTGCGAAGCCCGGTGCTTTCTGCAGGTGTTTTTCAAGACCTCCCTGAGCCTCTTGTCGACGGACGCCTCCATCGCCTTGCAGGGGCCGGAAGAGTTTGCCTTCCTGCGCCTGGGCCTTGCTTTTTACCCGCGTTTTCAGCTTAGGTTTCGAGCAGAGCACGCTTCATTCTTTGCCCTGCGCGCTGCTAAGCCAGAAGCTGTAATAACATCGTGCGCCCCAAGCCCTATAAGCTATCAAACAAACCCGGGGTGTATGTGGATGGCATTTGTCGTTGTATATCGTTGGGAGGTTCAAGAATCGCACAGACCGTGAGGCAGGAATACCTACTTGTTCGTCCGAGTGCGCTGTTTGGATCCCGAAGAATGGCAGACCCCAATATTTGTGAGACAACTGTGCCAGCATGCAACGTGCACCAGCACAATTAATATTAGAAGAAGGGCATAGACTCAGACAGGCCGTGTCCGTAGTCAGTAGTATGTCCTGCCACTTCATGTTTTGACAAGTCACCGACATCGAAGTCATCACCCGAGGCTTCTCAGAACAAGACACGTCTCACAGCAAAAACAACAGAAATCGCAGCCGCAGCTGCGACCCCAACTGACGAATCAAGAAAACCTTTCTTGTTGAATTTGGGATCGCGACGAATTCAACCCGACAACGCACACCCATGCTGTATGGTACTACACTTTGCGAACCGTAGGCCCTAGGCCCCAAACCCGATCTCAAGACCAGAAGCCATGAAGCCTGGAATTTTCAAAACGAACGCCGCCCCGCATCTGGGCTTTCAGCCCCAGCAGGTGCCTCAGCTTCTCAGCGCCGGCAGCCTCACAGACAGCTTTTTGCTTCCATTGGTTTATAAGCATTTGTAGCGTTTCATACATGAAGGAGTTTGACATTTGACATTTGCTTACCCTGTGTTGAGGGCTCAGCGCTCAATCTGTCTCGCGGGCTAGGGCGGGGGTTGGGTTCGGAGTGTTCGGGTTTAGTGTGTGTGTGTGTCTGTGTGTCTCTGTCTGTGTGTGTGTGTGTATGTGTGTCTGCGTCTCTGTCTGCGTCTGTGTCTGTGTCTGTGTCTGTCTGGAAGGTCTTCCCGCAGCTGCTGGATCCGGGCTGCCTGCCTCCTTGGCTGCACTGGAGATTTCGCATGGCAAACATAACACAGCATGTATACTCCCCAAGCCCAAGCCCTGTGCCCGATCATGACGAGAGCATCCCTGAGGCTTCCAAGACCACTCCATGAGTCGAAACTAGCGGGAGCGTGATCTGCACTCTAGAACATGGACCTGGTTGTGTCGGGAATCCGGGAATCCGCGTCCAGCCAAAATGTGGAAGGGATTGGCGAAAGCACGGTATCTGGAGGCGTCGCATGCATGCGCGCATGCCTAACAATGTGCACCTGCGCTGTGGCGGGGAGCACGATTTGGGCAGGGGCACCTTTTTCCCCAAAGGCAGTTTGGAGGCCAAAATGGCGACCTCGGAGTGTCCTCTGCGGATCGGATGCGGGATTTGTGTTTTGAAAGTTTCGGTTACCACATTTCTGACATGGAAGCCACAGAAAGTGCATTTTTCGGCCCACATCATTACAGTTATAGGCAGTTAGGACTGGGTTTCTGAGTAACTAATGAAAGGGATCTTCAGAACTTCGTAGGATGCTCATCAACTCTGAAACCAAGACCCTCGAAGGTCTGCGGATGGCCTGCTGTCTCTGAGCCTGTCTCCTGGGCAGTTCTTTGCGGCAGGGACGGCCTTCTCTTTCCAGATACAGGTGATCAACCCAAGTCTGAGCCAGGCACAGAGAGGGGGGTTTCGGGGTCTGCAGACCCGCTTCGGGGGTCCGGGTGTTGAAGATTAGTTAATCATAAAGGCGCGAATCCCAAAGTACAACTCTGACTCCTCAGACATACAGACAGAGATCAGACATCTCAAACCAAGGCTCTTCTTTCGCTGTCCTAAGGCCTCGTAGGTTCTGCCCCCTATACTTGTACGTGTGGTGTGTAATATTGTGTAATCTATCCAGAATCAGAAGGGAGCTGGAAGCATACCACAGAGCAAAGGCAAATCTCCGAGATCCCCTGCAAAGTCGGTTTGAAGTTCATGGCAGCAGCTGTAGGCCGAGACTCTGAGAAACAAAGCCAGGACGGTCCCCTCCGATAATTTCCACGGAAGCTTCGGAGCCCCAGGCTGTAAACCCCATACTTCGGCAATCTCCACGAATCGAAATCACGGTGGTATTCAGCCCTAAGCCCGAAGC